TTTTTGCGAATTTATGTCTTACGATTCGAATGCGTGCATCCGTTTCAGAGGATTGATTTTTCTACAACCGACAGCTATCTAATTACCAGGCAAGGGCTTTTTGGTCATAATGTCAAAACATTGAAGCGAAGAGCGAAAAAGACAATTCCAAGTTGACCAGACCAAGCTGTATCCGTACAAAATGATGAAGTGCATTTGATTAGGCTGCATTCCGAATGCGTTTCGAGCTAGTTTCCGAGTTTTTTTACCGATAGACCAAGAGCGTGCTCTGGAGAAATAATCATAAGAGGATTATCATAGATAATATAAGTTGTTTGTGTTCCCTAAAGTTAAGTCCTCATAAGATTATATTTTGACAGGTTAAACTTTTAGCCATCGTCTGTTGCCCTTTCCCCCACTGTTTTAAGATTCTTTCGAAGCTTCAGTGAATTCTTTTCATTTGCAAAGGATCATCTATTCTGTACATCGTCAGAGTGTTTGAAGTTCATAGGGTTGGTTTCATCTAGGACGCCGTTAATAAAAATCAGGAAGAGCAGTAGTCCTTATATGATTCCATGTTAAACTCACGATGCTTAGACTCTTCAGCTCGCATGCATTCTGCGTACCTTGAGGCTCAGCATCTAATTCTAAAAGTCGATGGATATTACACGGACCGATATGCTTTGGTCAGGACAGATTAATCGGCCGCAAGTTATGAGAAGACTGAACGTTAAGACGTGACCTTCCCTGGATTTGTGTTGAGCTTCATGGATGATGTTGTTTTCCCGTTGTTCACTCTTTCTATATTCCCTATGGACTTTTCGCTACCATCTGCTTTATTTCTGTTACTATAATCATCCTGGTCACATTTCATCTCAATTTTAACGTTATATCTGATCATGCTGAGCTTTCCTTTCCCAATTATAATTTTACTATCTGTCTTCATAATGAATATTCAAGTCCTCAACAAAAAAACTAATATAAGTTTCCCTACTAAAAAATAGCGTTCCAAACCTTTGTTTAGTCTACCTCACTGTTACAATGTTTACGTGGATATTATTAACACTAATAATTGTAATTATTATCACCTTAGGAAATAAGTATATATTTTTGATTGTGCAGCTTTGAAAATGAATTCGCCAAGAGAAGAATATGTAGAATCGTGGTCTAACTCGGCATCAGTATACTTACTAATAATAATAGATCTAATCCTAAAACCGTAGATTTGTCAACACGTGATTACCCAATGTATGAGATCATACATGGAAGTCACATCATTGCCTATGATGACGCGTCCTATCGTGAAATCAGCAACAAGACGTTTAGCAGTATTGGAGAATATATTTTGGCTGGGGATAGAACAGTGTATTTTCTGTGGACAGGGATAAATTACACAGAATGATCACACCTTCAAGGTCGATCGATGCCACACCGAACAATTGTTCTCTCCTCAACCATCTCTGATTCTCTTTCTACGTTATATATCGGATGTAGATTTTCTCAGTTCTCTCATGTTTGGGTCTAAAGATCGTGTGGTTAGGAATCGTTACCACTACAAACACTTCGCTGAACGAATCCTCTTGCTTTCCTGTGTACGTCGTGATCTGATCATCCACCAGTTTTCCTATTACCCTTGAAAGTGCTGAGGGTATTATGACTAGTCAGTAATAAGTTAGATTTTTCTACTCTCCTTTTAAGAATATTGAAGGAAGAGCAGACCATTTTCGATTTCCTGAAATTTGTTGTGATTCTGGTTAGTCCCTAATTAGGTCGCACGCATGTTTCGGAATCACTGAGCGGGTGTTGTCACATACTAGTGACTTTCCTGAGTGTTTAATGACCAACACAGTACTGTGCTGTTACAAACAGTTTGATGTCTTTGCGCACTCATCTTATTCTAAAAAGACGCTCGTAGATAACCAGTGAGCTTCTGTGAGGTCAGTCAATCCATTGTGCTGCAACAGTTTCGGCGGGTTAGATGAGTTTTTGTAAACTGATATATTTTGAACACAAATTACCTTGTTTCCTCCAAAAGAATAGAGTTGTGGAATATTGTACGATCAAGATCTTAGTCGATATAATTGCATCTCGCTATGCTACTAGAATAATAGAACCGACCCAAAGTCTCAGATTAGCCATAATGTGACTATTTAATCTATAGGATCTTACGTGGAATCACACCATTCTCTATACTGGGTTGTCCTGTTGTGACAGTCATCAGTATGGTGTTTGGGACTTCTGAAGAACAAATTTAGGCTGGAGGTAGAATAATATACTTAATATGGAATGGAAGGAGTTACACAAATTGACCACGGCTGCACGGTCAAGCTATGCCATATTTATTAATTATTTCTGCGCTCATTATTTCCCACCTTCTTTAAATTTTAAACATTGAATGTAACTTTCCTTAGTTGTTATGTGTTTTACTTCGGAGATCGTTTAGTTATGAGACAACACCATTACAAGATAACCTAAACATCACCAGGCAGTCGTTCACTTGGTTATATTATAATTTCTATGCAGAAGTCTGAGCTGTGAATGAAAGAAGTTTTGTTATAAAAATGAAAAAAGAGCATAGACAATAATATTTATTCTAATGAACGAGTTGTTTTGAAAATAAGTAGGATCAAGACACTTCTTTGACATTCTCTGTTGTCCTCTTTGAGTATGTTCCTGTCAAACAATTTTTATCGGGTAGCAGCCAGAAGATAATACATATATGCAATAACAACAGAAAACAGTCAAATGAAGTAACATTAGATAGTGTAGTGACTCACGTTTATCACGAGAACACGACTGGTTTAATAAAAACAATTATTATAACCAACTGTACCAGTGTTTGTTTTAATGTGCTTTTGTTTGACTGTGCTAATGACAGCTATTTTGTTCTTTCATTCACTTACTTACACTTTAATTGTAACTTCGCGCGAATTCGGTTACCTTCTGTAACCAAGGTTGTATCCTGGCACGATCTCGGTATCCTTTCGATGCCACGAGATCGCCAGCTAATAAACCTCGACTTGGTTCATTAATTGCCTTCTGGTACTCGGCTTCTCGGGGATTTTATGGAGTCATTTGGAACGAGCTTCTTACGCCTTCTGATCTATTTGGCACGTATATCTTGGTAGCGGTGTTCATAGTTAATCTCAACTCGACGCCACGCTACAATTGGTAATCCCAATACGACTACAATTGGTAATCCCAATACGACTACAATAGTATGACCTGTTCCATAGCCTGATAAATATTCCAACTTACCCAGAACCAGTAAATGGAAGACGGCTTAGGGCTTTCATACTTTCATTTATAGCTGCCTAATGCACGTCCCTAAATGAACACCTTTCAGGAGACCTTCTTTTAAGTGCATAAAGCATATTGTACAAAGTATATCATATTGAATCAAACCATTAGTAATTATGACAATAATATTGGAAAAAGATATGGTACTATTATATGTAATGCTGGGATTGAGGAGGTAGTTGCAAAAACATCAACACGACTTCGCTATGACAAAACGTAGAAACAGAACACAGCATTTTTTAAAAATAAGGTACCAGCTGAATACTGTTTGTACATTTTTTAAACACTCAGATAAAAGCTACTTCCTACGTTCCACAAATCCAGAAGCGGATATGAAAACCCAATCATCATGAAGTAGTTTCACTACTCGTCCATGGGAAATTACTCAGTAACATGTCGATTTTTCAATAAACCTTCACAAATTTCATGACCGAGGCGGCTATGTATGGTAATTAGCAGTATTCAGATTGGTTTTATAACTCAAAAGTCCCGGAAGAGTGTAGTTCCAGGCAAGCGGAAATAGATGAGCGTGTAGCGTGGTGTCGAGTTGAGATTAACTATGAACACCGCTACAAAGAAACACGTGCCAAGTATTTCTGAAGGAGAAGGTTGAACGTAACCAAATAGATCCATAAAATCCCCGAGAAGCCAAATATCAGAAGACAGTTAATGGACCAAATCGAGATATATTCGCTGGCGATCTCGTGGCATCGAAAGGATACCGAGATCGTGCCAGGATACAACCTTGGTTACAGAACGTAACCGAATTCGCGCGAAGTTACAATCAAAGTGTAAGTATAAGAATGGAAGCACAAAATAGCTGTCATTAGCACAGTCAAACAAAAGCACATTAAAACAAACACTGGTACAGTTGGTTATAATAATTGTTTTTATTAAACCAGTCGTGTTCTCGTGATAAATGTGAGTCACTACAAGCGTAGCTGAACGTATTACATTTGGAAATTGTAATAAGCGTAGAATCAATTTCAAAGAAGTCATCACTTAGTACAAATAACACACAGTCGGATTTTGCTAAATAGCTATCTAGTCACAAATTTGTATTTGGTGATAGATATCGTGAGATAGCTTTTCAAGAGTAGAATAGCTCTTTGATCTACTATCAGGACGTTTTTGAGTGCTGCTTGAGGATAATAGTTTTTATTATTCATTTACAGAACACTTTACTAAAAGTACTTAATTTGCAAAATGCCAATTAACTGTCTCACACTTGACTGTTCCTTTTGCAAATATCAGTCAATCATCTCAGACTTCATCATTCCTGGATTTTCATATAATTTGCCTTCTGTTCCCATTCTTTCCTCATCCATTTTGATTTTCTGCTACCAGACCTTCTGTTCCTGACTAGTGTTATATACTACTTATGTCGAAATAAGTAGCACACTCAACACTATTACTTGATGTAATACTTCTCTGTCAGATTGATCGTTTTTCACTTTGTGACTTCAACAAATACGAATAACTCATATATCGACTTGAGCTACACATCTTTTTCATCACTTCCACATAACTAGTTCTTTTAAATTATACCTACCGTCATTTAGCTAATATCAAAAATATACCAAGTGAACTATCAGTGGACGTGTAGAAGTTTAATATCAATGAACAGACTGTAAGATCCAAACTACGTTTGGACTGCTGGACAGCTGTCTGGATGAGTTAGATACGCGCCCTCGCCCGATTGAAACGAAAACAAAGTAATTGGGTAAGATAGCGGTTCTATAATTTATCATAAAATTAAGTGTACATTATTACCTAAACAAATATAATCACTCAGCTATCCAACCAATAATTGTTCAATTGATCAAATCTAAACTACAATAAATAAGAAAGTTGATAAAGGATGCAAGAAAATTACCAATCACCACAAATAAATGTTATTCTATCCTGTCTGGATAGATCACGTACAGATTCGTTCAAAAGGTAATAATTGGTCGCTCTATAACACAGAGTGTTTTCAATTCCGGAAGAGTGCTTCACTTCACAACCAAAATGCACAATTCCAGTCAACACAGGTCAAGCAATCAAAGCAGGAACAAACCAAAATGGCTGCCGCCAAGACTAAGTGTCAAGTAAAACAACATATGTGCAGTTCGGGTAGAAACATGGGGAATTAGTGGAGGTGTAGTAAAAACGAAAACTATAATAAAATACAGATATTAACAATTCAAATGTAGCCAAAAAGTTAACAATGTACAACTAAGGGGATCAATAGGAACAAAGTGCAAGTAAATACATGGAGGGATTTTCACAGACACACAAAGCATTCAAAATGGATCTTACACCGGCCCCCAAAATCCCTCCATATCACACAAGCTGCCTTGATGCCTATGGTCATGGTTCATTATGTAGCATATGACACTATAGGAACGAGTAGGACTTACAACAGTACGCCTACTCGACCTACCTACATTAATAACAACAAAGACTAATCCGAAGCTTCAAGGAGACCTGTTTCACTTGCTCTCTGGTGTTCAACAATAACACTCGTGGTATAGACTTAGTCACTCTTCCCCAAACTCCACCCATGCTGTTGGATGAGGGCCTCGCTGACAATTCACTATTTATCTTCTGCTGATCCGACTGTTGCACAAACTTCCTTAACTCAGAAAATGCCCACACGAAGCTTGACGCACTGTCACTGTAAATCTCCGGAGGTTTCCTTCTTCCAATACAACGTAATAAGGCCATTATAAATGAATCAGTAATCAAACTACACATCATTTCAATATGTACTGCCCATGTTTGCAAACAAGAAAACACATATCCATACCCTTTTTCTAATGATCTTCCTATGTGTCCTTGTTCTTTAGGACAATGTCTAATAATCATTTCCGTCACTAAGTGTCGACTGGGTAAAATTACTGGATGTTTAAAAGTATTTGGGGAATCTGAGTATCTTAGTCGACCTCCAACGCAGAGTAACCCATCACACATTATCAATGCTAAACCTTTCAGACCATCATGACATATTACTTTACTGCTGTTTTTAAATTCACTAAGTAATTCTCCATACACTTCTCTCTGAACCATCAATAAAATCTTACGCTTGGCAATACCAAGCTCCTTGACCTTTAAACATCCTAGATGAACGGATCCTTCATGACTCGGGGAACGAAGTACCATCAGGAATTTTATGAACCTTCTAAACCAGGCTACGGCCCTGACTAATTTCAACCACTCGGAGTAATAAGAGAGAATAGGTGACATGTTGTACTTTATACTCAAGTTGACCACAGCAGTTTTTCTAAACTCACTATCGTCAGAGAATATTTGTGCGGTCTTATTGAAGGCAAAGTTCGCACGAAACGGCGATGATGTGGTACCAAATGCATGATTTGTCATTTGAAACTCAGATGGTTCACTCGACATGTCCCCTTCCTGCCACCACAGAAATCTTGAAGCTCCTCGACCAGACTCAGGGAACTTCACTTCCATGAACATTTCCTTAACATCTGCAGGGATTGCAACTGTCTCCTCGCGAAAACTTAATAATATGCACATTAACTCAGCAGTGGTATCGGGTTCTTGATAAATCATATCATTCATGGAAACCCCTGCAAACTCGGCGGCACAATCAAGGACCACTCTAAGTTCTTCTGGTTTCTTCATGTTTAACACTGCATGATGAGATGAATACCCTCGAGGGCGATAATTAGGCTGCAAATATATTTCAAGGACCCTCTCCGCATAAGTCTTAGTAAATTTACTCTCAATACTGTTGATATACCTGATGTGCAGACTGACATCCTTCGACAATATACCCTTCAAACTTTGTAATCTACGGTTCGCTACTTCATAATTATCCACTTTCATATTTGGATTCTTTTTCCACGGTATAGAAACTACAAAATGACCGTTGTCGAAGCGCGTGCCCCTTTCCACAATCTTTATAGCCGCCTTGTCGTCTACTGATAATGATTTATCACTTGAATAAGCATCTGAAAACTCTACATCATAAAGCTCACGTATTTCGTTCTCTAATGTCTGTACCTTACTGGTATGGTTAACAACTCTTCTCCTATATTCCGGGCATGATGGCTTATCATTTACGACGTTGCTTGTCGAGTCAGTGTGCAACAGAACGTGATGTCTCTTCTCACAACTGTCAACGTTACAGAGCCTTGTCATCTTACATTCATTAACTTTATGCCCTTGCCTAAGGCAGACAAAACAGATGCCATTGACCTTCGCGTGAGACCATCTCTCTTGAACGGTAAGCGCTAAAAAATTTGGACATTTATAAATAGCATGGTCCAGGGAACACACACTGCATTTAGCTCTCTCTTTCGAATTATTCTCCTGCTCCAATTGCAAGTGACAATTTGTCTTTAAGTTGTGTCCCTTTCTCGGACGATTCGCTAACCGTCCAAACCTACTATTAGCTACTCTCGCGCGGGATGCTATAAATTGAGTAAGCTCGTCAAAGGTTGGTTCTCTATTATCTTCAGTCAATTCATCCACCCAGTCCGCCCACTGGGCTTGCATAACTTGAGGTAAGAGTCCTACTATTCTCTCTAAGGTAATTAGAGAATTTAAGTCGGCAGTATACTTCATCTGTTTCAAAACCATAGAACAATTTTCCATCCTAATAGCTAGATTTGTTAGTTGCTCAGGATCACTGTAATCAACATTTGTAGTTTTGAATAAGTCCTCTAAAGTTTCCCGAGCGATTACATGCGCCTGTCCGAACAACCGTTTTAGAATTTCTTTGGCCTTCTTGTAACCAAAAGAGGCTTCCAACATAACACAACCCTCAATGGCTGTTTTCGCTTTACCCTTACAATAATGTATCAAATAAAGCAAGCGTTGACCATCATCCTTGACCCTTGATTCCACATAGGTCTCAAACTCCCTTAAAAACTTCCAGTAACCTCTTGGTTGACCGTCGAAATAACTTAACTCAACCTTTAGTAACTCTGGACCTATGAAAAACGCTGTAGGCCTTACGCCTTTTGCTTGCTTCACGTCTAAATCAAGGTTTTCTATGCCATCTGCCATTATATCACAACTAGATTCACTATAATTACAATCGTCCCTATTAGAATATGAACCATGACACATAGAAGCATCAGAAGGCACTTGCCTTGATTGAGGGGATCCATCCTTTTGTTCATCTCTTTTAATATCCACGAGCCTTGGACTTAGTTTCCTTCGACGATTGTTCGGCATCGCAAGCGAACGACCAAATATTCCCAGAGACGATGATTGGAATCAACGAAACGAAAGCCAAGCGAATTCGACCAAAATATTTGTTTAGAACTGTAAGATCCAAACTACGTTTGGACTGCTGGACAGCTGTCTGGATGAGTTAGATACGCGCCCTCGCCCGATTGAAACCAAAACAAAGTAATTGGGTAAGATAGCGGTTCTATAATTTATCATAAAATTAAGTGTACATTATTACCTAAACAAATATAATCACTCAGCTATCCAACCAATAATTGTTCAATTGATCAAATCTAAACTACAATAAATAAGAAAGTTGATAAAGGATGCAAGAAAATTACCAATCACCACAAATAAATGTTATTCTATCCTGTCTGGATAGATCACGTACAGATTCGTTCAAAAGGTAATAATTGGTCGCTCTATAACACAGAGTGTTTTCAATTCCGGAAGAGTGCTTCACTTCACAACCAAAATGCACAATTCCAGTCAACACAGGTCAAGCAATCAAAGCAGGAACAAACCAAAATGGCTGCCGCCAAGACTAAGTGTCAAGTAAAACAACATATGTGCAGTTCGGGTAGAAACATGGGGAATTAGTGGAGGTGTAGTAAAAACGAAAACTATAATAAAATACAGATATTAACAATTCAAATGTAGCCAAAAAGTTAACAATGTACAACTAAGGGGATCAATAGGAACAAAGTGCAAGTAAATACATGGAGGGATTTTCACAGACACACAAAGCATTCAAAATGGATCTTACACAGACATCTAGTGAATTCTCAGCTATTACCGTCAACCATCATTTAATTGTTGTAGAATAAGTGCATGAACAAGAACACAAGTAGAGATAGTCGAATCTGAGAACCGTACAGTAAATACTTAATTTGCAAAATGCCAATTAACTGTCTCACACTTGACTGTTCCTTTTGCAAATATCAGTCAGTCATCTCAGACTTCATCATTCCTGCATTTTCATATTTATCGCTATGTATCCTCATACTTTACTTCTCAACCTTCTACTGAAATACATTCTATTCCTAACTATCGTTACATACTACTCATGTTGATATAAGTAACACACACTATAATAGTACCTTAAATCCTAGCATTAAGATTCATACAATTTCAATATCAAATAACTCTCTACTGAAAACATCTATAAGCTCCTGATTGAAAAACATTATCCAAATAAGCTTATCGGTTTTTCCAGAAAGCTTTACCAACTATAATTAATATTTAACTTAAACAAATCAGAACTCTTTAACCTTGAGAAAATAAATCAATAAACAATTGATTATAACAATTAAACTTGATTTTATTAAATTAAAAACAACATAAATATACCTGGGGAAAGAGAAAAGAAAGAAATGGGCATAAACAAACCCCCACCCCCCTGAGATTTCATTACTTATCATGTCTTCAATAAATAAATAAATAATGCTAGTAACACTTTATGACGTAATAATAATGATTAATCAATTTACTTTTAATAGGCAACTAACAAAAAAATAAAACAATGAAAGGCTTTCACATTGGTAACGTTGACAAAAAGAAATAGACATTTGGCGGGAAACAAAAACTTAAACTATCCATTCTCATCATTTTTTAACAACAACAAAAATAATGTAAACAATGAATGGAACATGATTTGAATATATAAACCTATATGTTGTTTAAAACAGAAATTGAATTAGACAAAATGATTTGTAATATTGACTTTATAATAGTTAAATAGGCACCACCCCCTCTAGGATTAATGCTGATCCAAAGCTTGGATAAAGGAAAACAGTTGGATATGAGGTTAGCAACCACATCCAGTAGATAATTAACACGCTAAAAAACGCTAACCACAAAAATAATGTATATGTATAGATATGGATAGATAGATATATAAACTGAGTTCCATTGAACAAGGAGATTCTTTTTACAATTTGGCGCTTTGTGTCACACACACACATATATTGACAAATGAACAACTTTGTTTTGTTTTGTTTGTTTCTAAACATTGTTTCAATGTATTCAATATAATCAAGTGGATATTTATATAAATTATTATATACTACTATACATACATATATATATATGCATAGTATTATTCTTTTAAATGTATTATACTACTGAAATGAATAAATAAGTAATAAAATAAAACATTCATCATAAAATGGATTTTGAGCACACACAGAAGAAGAAAAGACAATTAAAAACATTGACCTGAGTAAAAATTGAAGGTCAAACGGAAAAATGAAAAAAATACTATGTGATTGGATGATATTTCTAGCTCAAGTATCAATTATGTTCGTTTGTGCTGTTTGTCCGTTTGTTTGTGTTTGTGCTGTTTGTCCGTTTGTTTGTGTTTGTGTTGTTTGTTTGTTTGTTTGTTTGTATTAACTTGTTGAAACAGAAAGCAAAAAAATAAGTAAAACACCCTGAGAAGTAAAATATCAAAAGTATCATGAAATGATCCTGTACGATAGCGAGGTTGAAATGTAAAAAACAAAGAACTTTAATAATCAATTATTAACTTCATAATAATCTTCAAATAATTTAACAAAATGATAATCCACTTTAGAACAATATGGACAAATAATTAAATTACTATATTGACTAAAATAATTTAATGGATAAGATTTAATTGTAAGATTATTTATCGATTGATCAATATTATTGATTGGAAATTGATTTTGATCATGATATTGATGTTGATGAGGTAGATCATTTGATGATAATTGTAATGTACTTGTAATTGTTGTAGTATTTGTTGTTGTTAAGGAGGAGGAGGGGGACGATATTGTTGAATTGGATGATAGTGATAAATTATCTAAACGTGATTGACATGAACCACATGTTAAATGAGCTGAACAACATGGTACAGCAGCAAATATATCATAAGTGTAAAGACCACCAACTAGTAATGAAGTGCCTAAATGTTGAAAATAAACAAAAAATAAATATAATATCTATTAGAATATTCTTAAGTGATCAGTGTAACAAGTGAATGTCGTGTCTATTTCCACAAACCTCTTCAACTAGTATATCATATAATCAAGAAATAGGCGAATTGAGATACGAAATAGTGTTATCAGTATAGGATTGTGAACGTTTTTGAGATTTAATTGAGCTCATGAACTAATCAATGTAAGATCACCATTTTATTTATGTATTTATTTATTTATTGGAACAGGTAACTATATGTTACAAAGCGGCACCGAATACATATGCGACATGCATGTCACTTGATTTGTATGTGAGCTGTGATACTGCACGAGTACCCAAACCGAAGCAGGTGCTATTATTAGGGTGTCACACACGGAGTATTCGACCTAAAGATCTGATCCGCAAGACAGTGAAGCAATGTCAGGAGATGCAGTCCCATGATAGCAGGTGACCAATGATTGGTTCATACTCCATTTGTTCCTTACGGATCGTGCAGACCATGTGTGACATTGGTTTAGAATCAGGGTCATCCAAATTCCCTGGATAGATCTTCCGTGCTCACCTACCCGGTTAAAGCGCCGGACATTAGTTTTCCGCCCTCTAAATTGCGTAAACAACACCTCCACCGCGAGAACATAATTAGTAGGACTTCCCTGACAGTGTCTTTATACACGTGGTTATGTGGCAGCACGTCGAGAGGGAAAGCTGACTCTACCCACTCTCGGCCGTACCAGGGCATTTGAGGGCCATAAGCGATGTAACTCCTCAGCAGTGCTCACCTACGACCTCCTATGCGGGACTCGAACCGAGGACCTTCGGCCTCGAAAACCTGGAGGCACTGAGCGACCGCCTCGCAATGGTGATCAGTAGATTGGGCGTTCACGAGCGAGACCTAAGGTCGAGATTTTACAAAATTTGAATTGCATTTCTTTAATAACGCATTATAACATTATGGAGTGTACTACTGACATCGACAGATATAAGTTGTATCATCAATCGCAAGTGAAATGCCTGCTGGCAGAAGGTTAAGAAGATCAAAGAAAAGAGAACGAGAACAGAAAATGATTACTATAGAGACTAAGGAACAGTGAATTTCGAGACGATTGATTGACGTTTTGCAAACGAAGTACTTCACAGATTTTACTAATGTGTTCTGTAGTTTTGTATTCACATACATTTGATTGTCCCCACTTGTGTACTCGTTCACTGAATTTCGTGTCACTGCTAACCAAAAGGGAGAAAGGTGCCTGAAGCTGAGGTGCCACTTGGGGCGGTCTGGTTTAGGAAGATGACGTCGAGTAGACTGTTCAGGCGGGTGGCATTGGCTTTGACGAGTGCCGTTGACAGAGAGGAGCGGTGGGACGTGTGGCTGCTTGGCAGAAATTGAATGCAGATGGCTTGGGAAGTTGCTGGTACACAAGTGTTGAGCATCCCGGGTGCTGAGTGTACGTCGGATTTCAATAACCCAGTCTCGACATTTTGACGGTGAACATGACACAGCCAGCAGAATCACCTCAAGAACGTCTGTTTTAAAGGGTAGACGTGTGTGTAGTGTGTGCTACCGACATCAACAGATATAAGTAGTATGTATCATTAGTCGAAAGTGAAATGTCTGTCGGTAGAAGGTTAAGACGATCGAAGAAAAGAGAATTATTGTTGTAGAAACAAAGGAACAATGAAGTCTAAGATGATTGACTGATATTTTGCAAATGAAGTATTCACTAAATGGTTCATAGATTTTACTAAGAGATTCTGTAGTTTTGCATTCACATACATTTGGTTGTTCCCCTATGTGTTCTTATTCACTAAACTACTATTTAGAAAAAAAATATATTAAATTTTTTTTAATTTGAGGGTGTGTTTGTTTTTTTTTCTTATTACCTCATGACAACCAAGTGATTAAATAATTAGATCTCTTTGAAAAATATGTACTTTCCCCCCTGCTTTTACCCACAACAACAAAAAAAATTTTTTTCTCTTTTATGTACTTTTAAAATAAGATAAATAAAGGGGAAAGTACAAGAATTTTTTCATTCTACTTATATCCAATAATAAGGTCATGGTATGTGTGTATGTGTGTGTGTGAGAGAGAGAGAGAGAAAGAGGGGGGTACAAAGAAATGTATAGTCCATTATAATCTTATTGATTTCAAAAGAAAAAATTTTTTTTTAATGCACAGAATAATAAGAATGGGTTTCAATTAAACAGAATGATGGTATGACCAAGGGTGGGGATATTACGCTATCCCTATCGAAATGCTCTCATATAGCCAAGTATATATAGACACTGCTAGGGAAGTCCTACTCATTATATTCTCGTGATGGGGGTGCTGTTTACGAAATTGACAAGACGAAAAGCGAATATCCGATACTTTAACCGGTTTAGTGGGTATGGATGACCCACCTAGAGGAGTTGAAAAACCCTCACTGCGAACCAATCGTGCACATGGTCTGCACGATCCTGAAGGAACAAACGGCGTACGAACCTATTGTTTGTCATTGGCTACCATGTGACTGAATCTCCCAACGTTGATCCACTGCCTTATGGATTAGACCTTCATGTCGAAGGCTTGGGGATTAGCCCCCCTAAGAAAACCACCTGCTTTGGTCT